AAAACCCTGCAAATGTGGGTTGATTTTCACACACATCAGGGTTAATGACCAATAAACCCAGACAGAAAGTCAACAAAACATGTTTCTTTTTACTTTTGGGATTCTGTGAAAATCAATCCACTTTTGTGGATTTTCCCCACTTTCTGTCCACTTTCTGTCCAGGTTAATGCTCAACGTTGTGTGAAAATCAATCTGCTTTTGTGGGTTTTTCCTGTTTTAAATCCCATTTTTGCATAGGATCCCTCCCATGTGATAAACTCCCCTCTCTAAACAAATTTGCCAAGAAAACCATGTAATAGGTTCACCCTAGGGTCACCATACGTCAGAAATTACTTGAAGGCACACAACAACAACACCTAATACATTACTTTGTAAAAACAGTGTCCAGTTTATGTTATAAGAAAGAGGAGAGGGCAACTATGTTCTCTTTTCTGCTTTTTTTTAAAGGGATGTTGTGGCATTGTCCATCTTTCAATATTTTCAAATAAAGTTAGGGAACCTTTTACATGAGTTCCCCTCCCTGCATACATAGGATCTATTTTCTTTAAAAAAATTAAATGATAATCATCAAATAGCATCTTCAAAGCCACAAAATGCTGTTCACGTGAGACAGAAGAGCTATGTGGTTCATTAGGTGATGTTACAACCCAACATATACAGGCAGCTAAACACCATTAGAAATACTACTGGAAGCAGAAGGGAAAGAGACATGAATTTTTCCCGGTGGCAAAATGTTGTGCTTAAATGCCAGGAATAATATCTGAAATTTTTGCAACAGAAGACTTTCCTTGAAGGAAGAATGCTCCTGGATCCTAACAAATGCAAGCATTGTTTGGCAGGATTACCCCAAAGACACCTGTCTAGTTCAGCTTTCTCATTTAAATGGCAACTATTAGATTTATCCATAAAAGTAACTTCTTTGCCTTACACTTCCAGAGGTTAATAGTGACATTTTGCAGCATAATCACGCCCACGTATCACAATCGTTTTTTCAATAGAATTTCATCATAGCAGTAGAAACAGCAAGATCAATTTCAGCCTAGCCAGCAGCCCACATGTCTCTCAGACTTCATAAGAGTCGTATCATGGGATTTTTTTCTAAATCACTTCAGAAGCTTTGCTAAAAGTGAGTATATTTTCCACATAAATAAACCCTATGCTATTTCTCCAAAGGATCTGGTAGCTCAGGAAAAAAGAGCCTGAACATAGAAGCTTCTACACAGCTGAGTTCTCACAAGCAACACTTCATTCATTGTGTGACAGAGGAAAAAGAAAGGGGTGCTTCCAGATGGCAGGTTCCGTTCACTACTACACTCATCCCTCCACATTCACTGGGGTTAGGGGCACAGGACCCCCATGAATGTGAAAAAAATACAAATAACAAAAGCACTATGTTTTTACCTGAGAGAACACTTCTCTAGGAATCTCTAGGTCCTCCAGTGCAATTCTGTAGTCAACATCTGCCAGACATTCACCATAGAATTGCGCTGGAGGAGCGACAAAAGCCTAGTGGAGTGTTCTTTCTAGAAATCTCTAGGTCTTTCAATGTGATTTTTGGTTAAAGTTGACCATAGAGTTGCACTGGAGGACCTAGATATTCCTAGAGAGAACATATTAATAAAATCAGTGAATAATCAAATCTGCAAAAGTCAAAGCCACAAATGTGGAGGGACAAGTGTAGTCAAAAAGTGTTGTACAGCTATTCTGTCTGTCCCATCTTTAAAAAAAATTGTTTTTGTTTTTTTAAGGAGATGGTGATGAAATGAGAGAAAATAAGGGATGCCATCTGGAAACCCCGTAAAATTCAGTAACTGGATATGATAGTTGAATTAAGTAAAATTTATCCAGAAAAGGAGAAGAAGGAGAAGGAGAAGGAGAAGGAGAAGGAGAAGAGACTTACATGGAAATTCCTTCAATGAGATGGAGAAATCATTGTGTCCACTATTAATCAATATATCCACTAATAAAATGCAAAATTGATTGTACAATGCTATATGGTCCTAAGCTTAGTTGCACTGCATTCAGTGGAATTTAATCCATAGTGTGCACAGGACAGGACCACAGCTTCAGTTGTCTGGGCTAACTCCACTTTCTCCCTGAAACCTACACAGACAACAGCCTTGGCAGGAGAAACAGGGAGCCAATGATTTGTATTTCCACCTGTTTGCCTTGCTTTGATATTTCTTGTAAACATTCATAGCAAGTTGAGAGAGACCAATGAAAATGTCCACAAACTATTTGCCAAGGGAGGGGGGTCACAAAAATGACTCTTCTTTCTTCAATGGGAGCTGCATTAATTCTCTCCAAAATGCTTATTTCAGGATCAAAAAAGTGATAAAGCAGCTCCAGACACAAAAGCAGAGAATAATAATAATAATAATAATAATAATAATATACACCACCACCACCATACAGCCACAGAATCTTAGCAGGCTTGGGAAGATACACTGCCTCTCAAATGGTGCTGCTTTTCTAGGTCTGTCTCTGCAATACCCTGCCTTTCTTATCTTGACTATTTAAAAAGGAAAAGAGCACTTACCAGTCAGTGCTAAGAACTGTAGCTGAGGAGTCCTTCTTGCCACTGGGCTCCATTCACAATAGCTTATGTGGCATCATAGTGTGGATCTGCTTCTTTATGGGCTGGATTAGGATTTTAAAAAAAGAAGAAGTCACCAACAAGTAGGATAAAACAAGTTAGACAAGTTTGGGTGACAAAAGTTTCACCCTGTAGCATGATTTCAAGGGAGGAATCAAAACCATAACAGTACTGTACGCACCTAATACATAATACCTTTCATTCAAGAATCACAGTGACTTTAACAAGCTCTAATTAATTGCAACATAACCACAGAAAGATTGATTCAGATCAAAGGAAATGTGGACAGTTTTGCAAAGGAAAAGAAAACTTCGTTCTTTTGGTCAATTAATATCTAAGAAAAAAGCAATTTGGCAGAGAATAAGAATTTGTAAGGAAATCCTAGGAGACTGGTACTAGAAAAAAGCAGACTCTAGTTTATATACAATTGATGTATTTGTTATATTTATGTCAAATAAACCAGTCTGAGAATCTGGACCATTGATTTCCCTAGAATATTGTCTGTCTTCAAGGTATGTATCTGGCTCTGTAGGGCTGTATTTTCTGAAAATGTTAGATCAGTGTACATTTTCTGTATTGAAAACATTAAAGATTCTACATCCTGCTGAAATCGTTGTGTGCCTTCAAGTGGACACATTTGACTTATAGTGCCCCTAAAGGTGAATTCTATTATGTGGGCTTTTTGAAAAGATTTCTTCAGAGGATGTTTGCCATTGCCTTCCTCAGAAAGAGTATGACTTGACCAACAAATCTGAGCAGGGATTTGAAACCCAGTTGATGGCTGAGCAGGGATCTGAACCCTAGTCTCCTGGTCTGACACTACACTGGCTGTGCTGGAATTGTAGACATCAGACGAGTGTTAGATTTCTCCACTCTTTTCAGAAACACATTTCAGCAGTAACCATAAATATTGATAACATGTACGGTAGTGTGAAATGTAAACAGTGGTCTGCAGTTTCTACTGTAGGGGGTGTGAATACAGTTTACACTGACTTTGCAACTTGCTTTCACATAAATGTAGGATCATATATGTAGGAGCAAAGCCAAATGCTTGTTCAGCCATCATTCTTACCCTCCGCCACATATTCCATGTAAGCAATCTGCTTTTCAAAGTGGCATATCCTTCACCTAACAACCTAATGGTTATGAAGCATATTTAAACTGTTGCAAAACTCACTAGGAACTAGGGTTGGGTTTGTACTGGGATGTAACTAGCCAATCAAAATCCTCTACAGCCAGCTTTTCCCCAATCCCCACCTGCAAATTGAGGAATTAAACAATCTGAAATCTGGGGATTGTGCATGTATGTGTGAACCAGCCAAGACATAAAGTCACAGATTGACTTCTCCAACTCACTGGGGGACTTTGCAGACTGCCAGAAATAGTGCACATTAAATTGAGGCACTGCCCTGGCCCAGTGCTAGGGAGTCATGGGAATTGTATTTTTTTCTGGGACATTGAGCCTTCTCTGTCAGAGAGCTCTGGTGCCACAATAAATTACAGTTCCCATGATTCCCTAGCACTGAGCCAGGGCAGTGCCTCAATTTAATGTGCACTATTTCTGGCAGCCTGCAAAGGCCCTGGAACAACTTGACATGTACATCAGAAACAAATTCAAGAGAAACCCTATTAGAGTGGCAATGGAGGGACTTGCCTTTGTATACAAGCTGTGTTTATGGCTTCACTGCTTCTGTAGCTGCCCCTCAAACTTTCTCGTGTTGTTGTTGTTGTTGTTGAATGCTTTCAAGTCATTTCTTACTTATGTGACCCTAAAGTGAACCTATAATGGGGTTTTCTTGGCAAGATTTGTTCAGAGGAGATTTGCCATTGCCTTCCCATGAGGCTGAGAGCATGTGATTTGCCCAAGGCCACCCAGTGAGTTTCATGGCTGAGCTGGGAATCAAACCCTGGTCTCTAGAGTTGTAATCCCAACACTCAAAACACTGTGCCACACTGGCTCTTAGTATATAGCAGGAATATAAGTGGGACTCCATTCTGCTGATGTTCACACAACAACTACCAACACCAGAAAGAGGCCCTCTCCAGTTGCTGGGCTACCCAATGCAGCCCCATTCTTATTATCTCAGATAGAGATAAACCCCTCTTTGATCACCCAAAATGGACAAAACTCAAGCCACATGTAAAAGTTTGAAAGCGTTTAGAATATGCCAGCATTATACCTCAGTTGAAAACATATTTATATAAAACTTCATTATTGACAGCTAAGTTTGTGAACAGAATCTGTTAGAAAGTTTTTAGTTGTGTACAATTATTTCACAAGTTCTGGAGTTGACCACTTGGCACTGAAAAGAGATTCCAATAAGGAAGTTTCAGGAAGGTTCAATTTATATCAGGTTATACCAGCTCTTGATACATATCTTTGTTTTCACTGACATGTTTTCTTCCTTGTAATATCTGTTGTCCTGAGTTCCAGAAAGAATTGGACACATAATATTCCAGCACAAGATTTTGTACATAACCTTAAAGATGGATCGATCAATAGAAGTCTTATTCCGGTGTTCTATCCAATAGGGATATAGTGAAATTTGAAGCACAAACCTTCACCAGGCAGTGTGTATAGCACAGACTCAGACACAGAAAGTCCAAAAGTGCAGGTGGCTGTGGTGATCTAAACTAATTTCAAGTATTTTTTGTCTCAGCCAGGAACAAGTCTTTTGTAAAATCACATCCAAGTACTTTGATTACAAAAGAGATAGCTCATGCATCATACAACAATACATCATTGCTCAGAAAATCCATTTCCTCTCCAGCTACTGTGAAAATTCCAGTTAAACTCATAGATAACAGGGGAGACTGAAAGGGGCAGGCAGATGATACCTTAGTCCTTGCTAATTCAAAAAGTCCCAAGTCTTTGATTCTGCAAGCCCTGTGCCTATGCATATAGAATAAATGTGTGAGAAAGGGGGACACTAGAGCACTCCTCCAGCTTATGCTGGTTCTTTACACAAAGGAAGGAATTTTCTGATGAGTATGTTGCCTTCCAAACATCTTTGATTTGTTCTGCACAAGGGTGGTACTGCAGGGAACATTCAGTCTCTCCAAATGGCCAAAATAAATGTAAAAATAAACATTCAAATGATTTACAAAATGACATGGGGGAGTGTGTGGTTCATCGTCACTGATGTCATGAAAACTAACCCAGAAGTACATTTGCTATCACTGTGTACACACTGTTCCAGAGTGAAAAGGAAGTGATAACTTATTGAAGGAAGGAAACAGTATTTTCCAAGACAAAGCCCAGAACATCATGGTATGTGGCCAAGTCACATTTCTAACAGGTGTGGCTTTTCCATATGAACATATGATGCTGCCTTATATTGAGTCATGTCATTGGTCCGTCTAACCCAGTATTTTCTGTTGTCATTAGCTTTAGCATCCTAGGGTCTTAAGAAGTTAACTTTCCTAGCTTCCATTATCCTGTGATTAGAATTGCTCATGATTTAATCTGGGATCTTATGTATGAAAACCACTGAACAATAGTTTCTCTCTTTAGCAAAGTAATAGGACAGACTTGGCAAGGACAAGTGGAGGGTTGGCTATGAAAAATGTAACTGGAGAGGGAATTGCAGAGGAGAACAGAACAGGTGTGGAAAAAGTTGTAAGCATCCCAGAATGCACATCAAATACATGAAAACAATTACATAAAGAAATGTGGGACTCAAAGTGAAGAGCCAAGAGTTTATCTGCTGACAGCGCTCTATAAATAAACTATAATAATAATAATAATAATAATAATAATAATAATAATAATAATGTACCCAGGGCACACATAAAACATAATGAAATAAAGAGGAGGTGCACAAAGCTTTGTTGCATTTCATTCTTAGAGTGTTCACATGTTATATTAAACATTCATTCAGTCTGAGTGTACACTTGCTCAGATGGTTATGAGCATCTGCCCATAATACACAAGTTCAGTGACAGTAAATATAATTGTGTGCATTGATTTATACAGGTCCATAGAAAATGTGGCCCACTGTAGACTACCTGGAACACAATCATTTTTTCCCCTATGGAGCTACTAGAAATGATTTCACAAAGGTTTTTTGTGAAGTAATTCTGATGGATAGTGTAACATTTGAGAGAGGAAAGAGACTGAAGACAGCAGAAGAAAGAACTCAACCCAAATTCTATCATGACCCTCCTTATTAAATAATTTCTCAGGATTTCTTGACTATGATAAAATTATGGATTTCAAAAATTAGCATATTTATTCATAAATTAAATTAACATTATTTATTTTACACTTTCCTAGAACAAATCTTACCAAGAAAACCCCAGGATAGATTCATCTTAGGGTCGCCTAAGTAGGAAATGATTTGATGGCACACAACAAGAAAGTTATATTTGTGGTGGGTAGATAACTCTATATAACTGAATTATACATTAACTAAAGCAAAAACTACGTAGCTTCCCAGAAAGCATGGTCCTATGCAAGACCCAATGCAAGCTAATATAAATCCAGGAGTGAGCAGGCTGAACTTTGAAAGCAAAGATAATTTGTTCATGAACTCATTATAATGTTTTAAAAGGAATTCACTGACATGTGTAACAAACTTTTAGAACAGATCATTGGGCTACTCATTGCTTTTCCATTACTTTTCTATATTTCTTTTAAACTACTAGCTTAGATCAGGGGTCAGCAACCTACAGCCCGAGGGCCAAACCCAGCCTGCCGAGGCCTTGGAACCAGCCTGTGGCCAGTACTGCTGCCACTGCCGCCGGCATGCGTTTGCACACGCATGCGCATGGCGACAGCACCATTGGGCATTCCAAAATGGTGCCCGCCGCCGAGTGCATGCGTGTGCAAGCACGGGTGCCATTTGGGATGCCAAAATGGCACCCGTGCTCACGCATGCATGTACACAGTGGCGGGTGCCATTTTGGAAGGCCCCACGGCAGCTGTGCCATGCGAATTTGCATGGCGCAGGCATGGTGGGGCCTTCCCAAGGCCCAATGGTGGCTGCGCCTTGTGAATTTGCACAGCACAGCCACTGTAGGGCCTTCCAAAATTGCGCCCCATGCACGCATGCATGCACACGGCAGCGGGCGTCGTGCACATGTGGTGCAGGGGGCAAGCGTGCGCAGGCGGGGCAAGCGCACGCACACATGCCCAGCCCCCACGCCATTTCCACCCCTCCCAGCCCCCCGGCAACAAAGGTTGCCGACCCCTGGCTTAGATGAAAGCAGCAACTAGGAACTTCCATGCCATTGGTGTGATGAATACAATCTAGGTTTTAGGTGGATTCTGAGGAGCTGTCTAAGGTGCTGAAAATTTATTGAGGACAGGAGTGACATCTTGGAGAGTCCCTTCAAAACCTGGGTTAGCATATGGAGTGGATTCACCTACCTAGTGACATGGAGCCACCAGCTACCACTTTAAGAAGATGGCATGAAATCTTGAAGACTTCTATCAAAACTATCTCTGAAATGCCATTTAAAATTAGCAAGAAAATGTTACCCATTGTACTGATAACTAATTTTTCCTGTTCATTAGGCCACATAATAAATATCTATTATGACTTGTGACATTTAAAATAAACTTGTTACAGTTAACTATGGGGGGTTGCAGACTGCCAGAAATAGTGCAAATTGAGTCCACTTTTAGGGTTAGAGTTAGGGTTAGGGAATCATGGGAACTGTAGTTTATTGTGCCACCAGAGCTCTCTGACAGAGAAGGCTCAATGTCTCAGGGGAAAAAAACAATTCTCATGATTCTCTAGCACTAACCCTAACCCTAAAAGTGGACTCAATTTGCACTATTTCTGGCAGTCTGCAACCCCCCTACGTTACAGGTTTTCTGCTGACCAAAAGACTGCCTTATCTAGGGTAGACCTCAGTTTGTCCCCCTATAAGCCATATCCAATCCTCATTACATCTAGACAAGAATTCAGGACTTTCACAGCCTTCTGGCATCAGCTGAAAAAGAGAAAACTAGGAATCCTGCAGTAGTAGTATGAGAAGTACAATATCCTGCCACTTGTTCTTCCAGCTGAAAGCCAAACAGTTTTGAAGAGCAAAAGAATACTGAGATATCATTGAAGAAATCCAAGCATGAAAACATATACCCTATGTTAGTACATGCAAATAGCTTCATGGGCATACTGAAAAATAGCCTGTATGTGCAGCACACCTAAAAAATCATTTGAATTAGATCATAGTGTGTATTAGATTAATTCTGCCCAATTTTCCTGCTCAGTTTACATTGCTCTAGTGCAAATAGTGGAGGAATAAGGAAAGAGCTTGGAGCTTTGTGGCTGAAAACGGGGTATAAATACAGTAAATAAATAATAAATAAATAAATAAATAAACAGGCAACAAAAGAAAGCAGACTCCTGGGATGACAAAGTCCTATTCATTTTCTAATTAATTAATTAATTAATTAATTCCTTTCCTTTTTCTCAATGTAGGGCCCATGGAAGCTTGTAGTATGAGATTAAAACAGAATACAGTCAAAACAATATATGGTACAAAAGTTGATTTTAAAATCATTAAATAGAAAAACTCTATTCAAATATTTAAAACAGCTTAAAATACATACATAAACCATAAGATAACCATTTGAAGCAGGCCAGCAGGCCCCCTTGTCTCTCTCATCCCTATGGAGGACATGATCTAAACCAGGAAGTTTGCTATACTCAGAGAGCACCTACACAATTCCAGCATACTCTGCTCTTCATGCCTTTGCCCTCCAACATGTGGAAGGTGGTGGGGCAAGAAACTAGAGATGTGACAAAGGAAACAGCACATTGAATGCCTGCATAAGGCGAAATAGGCTGTCCCATTTGAGATTGCAATTTAATGCTCCCTTCCATGTAAAGAGAAAACTACCACCTTAGGCAGAAAGACTGCAGACTGTGGAGACTCCACCAAATCTCTCTTACTCTGATGCCAGCACAATGGGTCTTTTAAAATCCTCCAGCTTGGCACCACTTGT